CCACCCCCCCTACAGGGTCTTGCTACCCAGCTCAAACTCATACTGATCCAACTGTCTCAGCTCCCCCAGCACTGGGATTATAGGCGTGTGCCACCAAGTCCGGTTTTGGTGGCTGGCTCAGCACAGAGTCAGCATGGCATTTGGTACCAGGGATTAAACCTGGGTCCTTGCACTTGCCAGGCAGGCACTTAGACTGCCAAGCTATCTCCCCAGCCCAGGATACAACTTTTTTTTATTAGGTTTTATGTATTTGGTACAGGGTCACACTATGCAGCTTGGACTCATAGTGATCCTCCTGTCACAGCCTCCCCAGCGCTGAGATTATAGGTGTGCATCACCACACCCAGTCTCAGGGGCCAGCTCAGCATTCCTGGGAGTACAGCCGATGCCCGGTCCCTGTACTTGCCTATGCAGGCCCTTAGCCTGCTGAGCTATCTCGTCAGCCCTCCAAGACACATCTTTTAAAGGAATTTATGTAAAGCACTGGGATTCATCTCTAGCAACAGAAAAAACACCAACCAATTGTTCTTAAAAGCATAATTACTTACAGATTATTTCCAAAATGGAGTTCTCTTTACCTGTAATCTCTTTTTAGTGTTTGCATGAGATTTCCACAACAATCTAGATACTGCTTCTCAATATGCGGATAGAGGCAAGACCTCAGTGTTAACTCAAAAGTCTGGCACGTCACAGATTCTGAGGACCTATCCATACATATGTCACCACCAGCAAACTTCTCATGAAAGTCACTTTGCTCCAAATACAACCTTCGAGACAAAAATGTGAGCCATCTACTTAATGAACTACTATTAACAGAGTTCTCTTAAGCCCCCAAGTCCCATTTTTACTACCAATTACTGCAAAGAAGGAATCTTCCTTCCCAGAACATTCTTTCAGAGCTGCTGCTGCTTTTAGGGTCAGGAACTGGAGGAGTCCGTCCTCCTGCTAGGGCCGCACACGACAAGTGCCAGCCATCAGACGCTAGCGCACCCTACGGACGCCAATGCCTGAGGCCCAGGACTCCTCTGATGTCTGATTCATGCCCAGGTGTCTGCAGGCATATGCTGGGTGACCCACGCATGCCCAGGAGCCGAGGCCACACTGGCAAGTTCGCAGGGCGAAGTCTACACACATCTTGTACAGAGGAAGCCAAATTCTACGGCCTAGGCGAACACAGTGACTTCTTACACCCTGGTCCACAGGACAGGCTGCACGATTTTTGTTAAGGTTGGCAACCTTATCCGGCAAAGAATAGTTACTAAATACTGCAGTCGCTGCCGTTCCAACCACTGAAAATCCTACGGGTGTCACCTTGCAAAGTTGATGGCCAGCAGGGGGTCGTGGACGCCGTCCAGCTCCAGGTGCTCCGCTGCGATGGACTGCATCTTACCCAGGCTCCCCTGGGTGGCCTGCTGCTCAGCGAGGACCTGCGGGGCTGAGTCTTCCCCACATCGAAGCCGGGACTGGACAGACTCCAGGAAGAGCGTGTACAGGCTCTTCCTTTCCGCGTCTAAAACAGAAGGGAATACATAAGCGGAAAAATGTCCTGATAAGTAACAAGAGCAAGCCCTGAGTACTTTAATCTGAACAGAAGCTGGTGTTTTTTATTTAATCTAGAGAGACTGTTTCTTTTACCTTGACAGTACAGCAAAACTAAAAATTTTTTATTTTCTGTGAAGAAACTACAAAGTTCACAGTTACATATCAACACACATGCTGATTCTGTTTGGAAGAGTCACACCTGCAGTAGGGCACCTGAAGGCTGTCACGAGCACAGTGCATGAAACCATGATAAGGCATATAGGAGTCCACGTTCAAGGACAAAACATAGCCAGTGATGCGCTGGAATGCTCGAGACAGTTGATTATCCAGTCAAAAGGGAAACATTC